AAAGTTTCTCTGGTATAACATGGGTGATGTTAGCATAGCAACCGAAGCTAAACTGACTACTTGCTATTGCTATCCTATTGTGGCATAAACCGTTTTCTACAGGCACATTTTACCGGCGTATTTTTATTATGATTCTACTTGTGATAGTCGGACACGACAACCTGTGCAGCCCATGTATTGATTCCATCCGATAGCTGCTATAATACAAAACAACACGTCTGCCTCTCTCCACAATGATCAATAACAGTGAACGGATGGTCAAAGTAAGGTACAAATTAACAGAATCACACGAAGCCTGGTTAGTGTGGCCTGACTTTATAAAGTGTGTTTATAAGCACTACTGCTTGTAGGCAGGCATGACAGTCGACCCATGTTCAGGGGAGGAGGGTTTAGTTTCCTGCACGCCTCGACGTAAGAGAGACGTAAGCGACGCCACCTCTTAGCTCCGAAGCTCTTGCCTCTAGACCGACAATCTTTGGAGCTGGAAGTGAACCCGATTCCGGAGCTAAGAGCCGGCGCCGCTGCGGTGTGAACAGGAAAAACCGGCGCTTTTCAGGCTCCAGCTCCGAGCCGGAGCTGAAAAAGCGCTGGTGTGAAAGGGGCACCAGAGAGGGTTATTTGGTTATTATTTATTTCATAAATAGTGTTATTTATTTCATTAATAGTGTTATTATTTATTTTCTGACTTTTTTTTCTGTGAAGATCCCGGAAAGGGTTATTAATATTTGGTTATGTGTGGCTTTCTAGAAAACAATAAATGTTTACGTTTAGACACCCATGCGATCGTCACACTTTTTCTGTTACAAACTGACCCGGCCCCCATCAGAGAAGGGAAAAGTTATGTGGCCCTCACAGGAAAAAGTTTGGGGACCCCTGGTTTAAAGCCAACTACAGAGATACACCGCTGCTTTAAAGTAGTCCATGCAAACGCTACATGTCCTTCAAAGTCCTCATGTTTAGCTTCAAACAGGAATACCAACAGCCTGAGGAGTAGGGTTTACTTTACCCAAGACGAAAGAGTCGGACACTTTAGGAGCGGCAGGTTGGCCAATGAGAGACACCGCGTTTACCAACCCTACACCTTTCTTCTAATTCCACCTGTGGCAGCCTAAGGAGCTGTCTCTCCCCTAGCTGATAGATCTCCATCAAAAAGGCTTCTGGCCTCTCCAATGAAGCAGCCATTTTGTCCTCTCTTCTCAAGGTAACATCTGCGCTGAATGCCATGAATTCCAGAATACACAAGAGGAAATGTATTTCAAAAATAAAACTGTAAATACTAAACACAAAAAGTAAGATCATGACATGCTGGGCTAGTTTATTCATGAGTCATAGCTTTTTCATTGTCTATATACTTTCTGAAGGTATGATGAACTCTAGATAGTACATTCCCCTCAGAGCCACAGTGCTTAGGGGGAACGGCTCATTGTGGCTGTTCCCAGTCCTACACATGACAGTCACACGATGTAGTATATTCCCTAGTAGTTAGTGGCTAATTAGGGTCCTAGCACCAAGTGTTTTCCTGCAGATCATTATTATTTCGACCAGCTACCAGTTCCGATACAAAAAACCCTCAAGAACCCGTAAGGTCTGCCTACTTAGATGTTTTGCAAATTAGCATAATGCGAAAACATTAAAATATTTACCTACATTCCCATTTTGAGTCCATCAACACCAAAATTGTTATCCAGCATCGGCGGAGGGTCATACACATTATCAGAGGATATGAGCATGATCAGTCGAAAAATATGGCCGCCATTAATCAAAACGTCTTGGCCAAAAACACCACACATTTATAACTAAAGAACGGATGGACAGAATTTTACGAAAATTGATACACATACTCTGGGGGTGAGTATACATTGAGAATTAAAGTGTTGCAATGACTGACGAATGTGGGCGTGGTTTCTAACTTTTTTTTTTATTGCGATGAGCTACTAACGCAGAACTTGAGACACATGTCACAGCCCAGGACCTTTTTGAGAATGTAAAATAGCTCAGTAGCGCCCCCTATTTTGTGGTAGTCGCATATAGTATTTATTGGCTTCCAGTAGCCCCGCCCCCCCCAGAAGTCGGTCATTTTGAACAATTTGCATTTTTCATTTATTTTAAGCACACTTTTACTAACTCGGAAATGATCGGAAAAATTCAAATTCAGGAGAAGTTAAGCGCATATCCAATTTGATGCTAAATTGCAACAAAAAAAGGAATGGTTGATCATTCGGGAAGGTTGTAAGCTAACGTAGAATGTTTCATTTTTGATGATTTTTATGTGACAAGTTAAACACATTTAACTTGTCACATAAATTACTCCACACTACTCAATGTATGTGTATGTATAGTATGTTGGATATTCACGAAATGCTGTATACACATTGCTCTTATGATTGCGAACATATTTCAAATATGCTTTGATTTGCCCCGCCCACCCGGAAGTTGGAAATATTGAGACATTTTCATTTTTCACTGTGGCTGGTCCCAGGCCCACACATAGCAGTCTCACTGTATTGTATTTTCCACTCAAAGACAACATTTCAATCGACCGCATGTTTATTTATTTTTTGCTGAATTTGTGTTTAAACAATGAAATAATGATAAACTGTAGTTAACGGAAATAATATATATTGTTGATTGATTATCAACAAAGACTTTTACACTTCTATACGTGCCCTATGTTATTTTAAATGCATTTGTTACATTTACAAAATGAGGGGTTAGAGTTTGTTCAGATGAAAAATGAAATACAATCCTATCCACCATAATTAACCAATTAATTAGCAGATCATTATTATTTCGACCAGCTACCACTTCCGATACAAAAAAGCCTCAAGAAAGAAGATGTTTTGCAAATTAGCATAATGTGAAATATTTACCTACATTTCAATTTTGAGTCCATCAACACCGAAATTGGTATACAGCATTGGCGGAAGGTCATACACATTATCATAGGAAATCATTATGATCAGTCAAAGAATATGGCCGCCATTAATCAAAACATTTTCGCCAAAAACACCACACATTTATAACTCAAGAACGGATGGACAGAATTTTACGAAAATGGCAGGTTGATGGCATTAAAAGAAAACATACAAGATCACAGAAGCACAGAAAAACCCACAACAGTTTCACTATATAGTACATTCCCTTCAAAGCCACAGTTCTTCGGGGAATGGCTCACTGTGGCTGGTCCCAGGCCGACACATAGCGGTCTCGTGTATTGTATTTTCCCCTCAAAGACACCATTTCAATTGATCGTAATGTTTTTTGCTGCATTTGTGTTTAACCTGTCGAGCCCTGAGCCTGTTTTTCAGGTCTCAGGCTCGAAAATGACTTTCCCAGAACAAATGACCATATCTTCTAAAAGGTTTAAATTAATAATCTGTTTTCTCAAAGTAATGATAAACCTGTGAGTTGGATGTAGAAGAGTCAGAATCAATATAGATGTTTCTTATTTTAAAGAAAATTCAGATTGAACATAGTAAAAAACTGTAAATTATAGTGTCCGTCCAAAAATTATTTTTTACTTATAGTGAAAACTACCCTTGGTAAGACTAAAAGCTTTAGGAATCCAAAGTACAACATATAATAAGTACCCTGTATCAAGATTGATGCAAAACAAGTGACATTTGACCTTTTTAGAGAGATTTAGCAAAAAAGAAAATACTTTTGGGGTCATTGGGGTGGATTTTCCATATCTCTGGCTCCCCTTTGTCGATTTTGACGAATGGAATCTCTTTCTGACCGTTAGAGCCAATAGAATCGAAGGGGGGTTTCCCCACACACAGACATGGTAAAACAAAAAGGTGGGGGCTTTGTGCTTGCAGTTTTGCTCCAGAGTGAAGCTATCTCTAGCTCTGACATCTGGAAACCGAAAAGCAGGTTTATTGCTCATGGATTATCAGAAATCATTTCAAAGGGACACAGGCACATTGGATTAACCTATCGATTAACTTCAGCAGCGTTTTTATCGTTTTAATGCCATTGAAGACCACTTTTTACCAGACTACGACACAGGTAAGCCATGTTAGCGTTTTTACCTACCTAGCACCACATGTTTTGATGTCTGTTTTTGTTTATAAAGGAGCGAGTTCGTATCATTGAGTGATAATGTCTGTACCCATCAATTCTGTGTCATCTCACGATCAGACCGATGGGTTGGATGGGCAGAATAGATAAGTAATAAGGTTTTATGAGTGAGTTTCGGTGCAGTAAATCTGTTAGCATTTTTAGCTCGTTGCTAATTCAGAGGCTAAGCGTTAGCATTGTGGTTTAAAAAAAAAAAATACAAATAAATGATCAGTTAGATGAGTTTCTTCCCGTTACATGGATATAAAACATTCATAGTTTATTAAATGAACATGCCCTCAGACTGCAAGATGTTGCGGGAGGGCCCCGGTACCGGGGTCTCTCGGGCTTAACAGGTTAAACAATGAAACAATGATAAACTGTAGTATACGGTAATAATATATATTGTTGAATGATTATCAACAAAGAGTTTTACACTTATATGCACTATGTTATTTTAAAAGCATTTATTACATTTACAAAATGAGTGGTCAGAATTTGCTCAGGAAATCTGCAACATCATACATGTATAAGGACTGTTTAAAATGAAATATATAAAATATCATTCACCATAATTAACCGTGCATAAACCCCCCAAATTAAACACAAAATCAGATTCATCCGTTTCTTCTTGTGGTTGAGAATTTTTCAACCTTGTTCCATCCATCCATCCATCTTCTCCCGCTTATCCGTGGTCGGGTCTCGGGGGTCTCGTTCCAGCAGAGAGCCCCACACGTTCCTTTCCCCTCATCAACCAGCTCTGACTGGGGGATCCCAAGGCGCTCCCAGGCCAGCGAAGAGATATAATCCCTCCACCTGGTCCTAGGTCTACCCCTTGGTCTCTTCCCAGCTGGACGTGCCTGGAACACCTCCCTAGGGAGGCGCCCAGGTGGCATCCTAACTAGGTGCCCGAACCTCAACTGGCTCCTTTCGACGCGAAGGAGGAGCGGCTCAACTCCGAGTCCCTCCCTGATGCTTCTCACCTTATCCCTAAGGGAGACACCAGCCACCCTGCGGAGAAAACCCATCTCGACCGCTTGTATCCGCGATCTCGTTCAACCTTGTTTTTGTCTTAAATTCCCCCGAATGCAGGAATTGCACCACAGGAGTGCATCACTGTTTTTATTTAGTGTTGTCCTTGTTTTCTTGTGTAGCATTAATGGACTACACCTTCATGTTGTGCAACCCTGTAATGAAGGATTACAATAAATGATCCTTTATTATTTATGGAACCATTTGGTGATGTATTGTAATTGGTTGGCTTGGTTAAAGTCATCTCTTATTTTGATTGAATTCAGCTGGGATATTGTCCAGCCCAGTTTACTGTTTGACATTTTTTTATGTTTGTACTTTGGTTTCACTTCCTCCCAACATCCTAAACTCTTCCCTCAGCCTCCTCCTCTATTACAGTGAACTCACCAGGGTGGTCCTAACTAACATCAGCTGTGATCCTGTACAGACTGAACTCTCTGGGCAGCAGGGAGGAAGTTTCTGGAACAGGAGGAGACTCTTCCTCCTACAGAGGAACCAGAGACACTGAGGAACCAGAGCTGAACCAGAACCCAAACCCAGCATAGAGAGGTTCAGTGAATGTGGTTCTGAAGGTGTGGAGGTGGGTCAGTGAGTCAGAGGAGACTCTGTAGAAGGAGAGAGAGCCATCAGGATGATCCAGATATACTGCTACTCTACCAGAGGAGGAGGAAGAGGAGGAGGAGGAGGAGGAGGAGGAGGATGAGGAGGAGGAGGAGGTGTGCGTTACTGCCTTATTGTGACAGACAGAGTAACGACCATCAGAGCAGATCAGACTCCAGGACTGATCATTCCCTCCAAACAAACAGTCTTTACTCTTTCCTTTCCTGCTGATTCCTCTGTAAGTCACCGATATATGAACTTCTCCTCTCCTCTCGACCTCCCAGTAACAGCGACCAGTCAGAGCTTCTCTGCACATCAGCTGAGGATAGTAATCAAACCTCTCTGGATGATCAGGATATGGCTGCTTCTCCTCCACACGTGTCACCTTCCTGTTGTCCTCAGACAGTTTGAGGTTCCTGTGAGCTGTGTTTGTGTCGAGTGAGAGTTCAGAGGAATCTGAGGAGAGGAACAGCAGCAGTTATTCATCTATCAGCTGTTCATTTATTGACACTTTGATGATGAAGGTTACATTTGAAGATGGTGGCTGCTTTGTTTTCATGAATCAAATTAAACCACACTCACACTTCCTCAGACCGGGTCTCAGCCATCGGACTCCAGCAGGCTCCATCCTGAAAGAGGGGGGGGGGGGGGGGGGGGGGGGTGTGACATCTCTCATTCACAGAATTCACATCTGATAGTTCATCATTGTTTTTAACACCCATTTAGCGCTTAATAAAATAGGAGAAGTACTTCAGAACCAATTCAGATACAGGAGTGAGTGTAGATCACGTCCAACAGGAGTGGGATGATCTCTGCTGTAGGTTTATGTTGTAGGATGGACCTTGATCTTTTAACCTGTTAAACCCTGAGCCTGTTTTTCGGGTCTCATGGTCGAAAATGACTTTCCCAGAACAAATGACCATATCTTCTAAAAGGGTTAAATTAATAATCTTTTTCTCAAAGTAATGATAAACCTGTGAGCTGGATGTAGAAAAGTCAGATTCAATATAGATGTTTTTTATTTGAAAGACAATTCAGATTGAACATGGTAAAAAACTGTAAATTGTTACGATCACGTGGAAAAGGTAGGACCCAAAAGCAGACTACAAAAAGGTAAAAGGTCTATAAACAAAAAGTGAGCTTTATTTAAAAAAAAACGATCAGCAAAAAAACATGGCAAGGATAGTACACAGGTAACACGAGGAAGATAACATACCCAAAAACGATCGTGACCAACATGAAGGGAGACAGGAAAAACAAACAATGAACCGACAGGGAAAGACAAGACTAAATACAGAGAGGGGTAATCACGGGACAAGAAACAGCTTGGTAAAGGAGGGAGAAACACAAGGGCAACAGGTGAACACAATGAGACAATCAGACACACCAGGGAAACTAACGACAGGAAGGCAAACACAGCAAAATAAAACCAAAACTTAACACACAAAACTCAAATCCTGACAGTAAATGATTGTGTCCGTCCAAAAATTATTCTTTACTTATAGTGAAAACTAACCTTGGATGAGGGTAAGGTAGACTAAAAGCTTTAGCAATCCAAAGTACAACATATAATAAGAACCCTGTATCAAGATTGATGCAAAACAAGTGACATTTGACCTTTTTAGAGAGATTTAGCAAAACAAACTCCACCTCTGGGGTCATTTGGGTGGAAATGGCCGTTTTTACCATTTCTCTGGAACCCATTGGTCGATTTTGGTGATTGACATCTCTTTCTGACCGTTAGTGCCAATAGAATCGAAGGGGAATTTCCCCATACGCACACATGGTAAAAAAAAAGCAGGGGCTTTGCGCATCCAGGTTTGCACCAGAGTCAACCTATCTCTAGCTCTGACATCTGGAAACGGAAAAGCAGGTTTATTGCTTATGGATTATCAGAAATCATTCAAAGGGACACAGACACATTGGATTAACCTATGGATTAACTTCAGCATCGTTTTTATTGTTGTAATGCCATTGAAGACAACTTTTGACCGGACTACGACACAAGGTAGGCCATGTTAGTGTTTTTAGCTACCTAGCGTCACATGTTTTGATGTCTGTTCTTGTTAATAGCTTTGCGAGTTCTTATCATGGAGTGATGATGTCTGTACCGATCGATTCTGTGTCATCTCACGATACAAATCGATGGGTTGGACGTGCAGCTACGATAAGTAATAAGGGTGTTATGAGTGAGTTTCTGTGCAACACCCCGTTAGCATTTTTCGCTCGTGGCTAATTCATAGGCACAGCACTAGCTTTGTGGTTTAAAAAAAAAAAAGATCAGTTAGCTGAGTTTCTTCCCGTTACATGGATATACAACATTCATAGTTTATTGAATATTAAGAAGCCCTCAGATGCTGTTTCCTGCAGATGACGTTTTCCCCCCGGTGTCGGGGGTGCGGTGTAGAAGAGGTTAAGCAACCATTCAACCACAACATCAAGATGTTGAGCATCCTGCTGGCCAAGTAGCTCCCCTGAATATATTGTAACATTTGGTCACAAAATTAAAATGAGCATTGAAATCGAGGTCAGAATCTAAAATGATAAAGATTTCTTCCTTGTTGTCGTGTCTTTCTGCAAACACAGATCTGCTGCCTGTGTCCTCAGTACCCTTCAGTTGTATTGTCTTGTCCCATTTGATCAAGTTTGGGTCTTTGTGACTATTTTGAAAACTATAATTTACATAAATACATATATACGTTTTTAATCATTAGGGCGGCTGTGGCGCAGTGATCCTCAGATCACCAGTTTGAAACCCGCCTCGACCAACACTGCAGTTGACAGGCCGTTGTGTCCTTGGGCAAGACACTTCATCCTAATTTGCTCCTGTGAGTATTTTCCACAGTATTCACGGTTACATGTCTGATATGTGTAATATGTAATGTAAAGCGCTTTGAGCATTCGTAAAAGTGCTCTAATAAATGTAATGAATTATTATAATACCTGAGAGTGTCCAGTCTCCAGAGAGGATCCTCCAGTCCAGCAGACAGCAGCTTCTCTCCGGAGTCTCCTGGATGATTGTATCTCAGGTCCAGCTCTCTCAGATGGGAGGGGTTGGATCTCAAAGCTGAAGCCAGAGAAACACAGCCTTCCTCTGAGACCAGACAGCCTGACAGCCTGAACACAAACAAAACAACATACATCACATAATCTGAGGTTACTGTGAGCACTGGAGGGTTAGTTCAGAAGTGGGGTAACATTAACATGATAACTACTTTCCTAGTCACAACCAAATACCCACTAATCTCTTTCAACAATCTGACAATATTACTAGTAGCTTTTAGATTTCTTTGATATTTAAAGATCCCACAATGGTGAACAAAAAAAATAACATATGTTCATGGAATGAATTGGCAACAACATTAACTTGACAGGTTGGATAGCAGATAAGAAAATACAATATTGTGCAGTATGTGTATCAAATTGTGTAAATCCCAATCTAAGTAGCCTTGTTGATGAATCCTGACCTGAGAGTCTCCAGAGTACAGTGTGGACTCTCCAGTCCAGCAGACAGCAGCTTCACTCCTGAATCCTGCAGGTCGTTGTTACTCAGGTCCAGATCTCTCAGACTAGAGGACTGGGAGCTGAGGACTGAGGACAGAGCTGCACAGCTTCTCTCTGACAGCTTACAGACACTCAGTCTGAAGGGACAATGAAATATACATAAAACTCTGCATTTATCCTTTCCTTATAATGTATTTAAAAATCAAACATAATGGTCAGAAAACCACATATAGGAGAAACAAAGTGTGACCTTTGGGCTGTCGTATTTATTACGTAACCCCCTAAACACCATTATTTCTACTGATCGAGATCATTTTGATTAGTTGGATTTAAAGCAAATTTTATAATACAATTGTAAAAATGTAAAGTGAATAAGATGTTGAGATAAAGTGTTTTCTTGGGCAAAACAGATGAAAAGCTAAATAAAATTATATTAGGAAAAGGAAAGAGCAAGAAAACAACTTCACTTTACGTAGCCATGATGACAATTATGTCTTACCTTTGCTGTTTTGTGAGCAAAAGTTCTGTTCAAGGGCATAAAAACGGTTAATCCAATATCTCTGTGTAACTTTAAAATGATTACTGATAATCCATCATTACAATTATGAATAATAAACACAAGAAACGGATTTTGATGGTTAGCTGACCGGAGCTTCCGGTTTAGAAGGTGCGCACGCAGCGTCTCGTTTTAACTGAATAATGGTCATGTTTACATGGATTTATGAACTGCCCTAATTACCGCCCCCTTCCAGAGACACACTCATACCTGCTTGGTATGACATACAAAAAGTTACATTAAACAATAAATACAAATAAATTACAATAAAATGACTGTTGTTTAATCTTCACATCATGTCTATAATTTTGAGCGCCAAATTATTGAAAAGTATCGATAAGAGTATCGAAAAATACCGGTATCGATAAGCAGTATCGGTGTCGATAAAATCCTAACGATACCCATCCCTAGTAACGTGTAATTGTAAAGCGCTTTGAGCACCTGGAAAAGCGCTATAATAAAAATGTAATTAATTATTGTACTTGCCTACTTCCCCCATGGGCTACATCAGCCCAACATATACATATTTATTCAATACGTAACTTAATATGTTGATCAATCCTGACCTGAGAGTCTCCAGAGTACAGTGTGGACTCTCCAGTCCAGTAGACAGCAGCTTCACTCCTGAATCCTGCAGGTCGTTGTTACTCAGGTCCAGCTCTCTCAGACTAGAGGACTGGGAGCTGAGGACTGAGGACAGAGCTTCACAGCTTCTCTCTGACAGCTTACAGCCACTCAGTCTGATAAAGGAAAACAATCAGCAAGAACAAATCTGCATTTATCGTCACAAAGCTATAAATATGGGACAGAACAGAATAATCCAAGGTCCATCGCCATTATAAGATACTTGTCTGATCCGATTTTTCTAACTAACCACAATCATTTTTGCACAGTTCTTGGATTTAAAGTCACATTTTAGAAAATGTGGCAAAACTTAAAGGTGAAAACTTAAATGTGAAAGTTAAGTCTTTTCATCAAAGGCAGAACAATATTAGTCTAAAATATGTCAATCTCAGGATCTAAAAGGTGACAAAACATAACTAGTTAAATATATTTGGGTAGAGAAGAATCCTGACCTGAGAGTCTCCAGAGTACAGTGTGGACTCTCCAGTCCAGCAGACAGCAGCTTCACTCCTGAATCCTGCAGGTCGTTGTTACTCAGGTCCAGATCTCTCAGACTAGAGGACTGGGAGCTGAGGACTGAGGACAGAGCTTCACAGCTTCTCTCTGACAGCTTACAGCCACTCAGTCTGATAAAGGAGGACCAAGCAATATGTTAAAATTGATGAGCAGAACATGTAAATTACATTGCATTACATTGCATTTAGCTGACGCTTTTATCCAAAGCGACTTACAATAAGTTCGACCAACAAAAATACAAATTTGAAGAAAACAGATCATGATATGAACGTTCCTGTACTTACAGAGTCTTCCTGGAGGCTTTGACCACTGGCAGCAGCCTCAGAAGAGCCTCCTCTGAAGCACAGTATTTCTTCAGGTCAAACACGTCCAGATCTTCTCCTGATGACAGTAAGATGAAGACCAGAGCTGACCACTGAGCAGGAGACAGATTATCTGTGGAGAGACTTCCTGAACTCAGGGACTGTTGGATCTGCTCCACTAGAGAACGATCATTCAGTTCATTCAGACAGTGGAACAGGTTGATGCTTCTCTCTGGAGAGGGAGCCTCATTAAACTTCTTCTTGATGTACCGGACTGATTTCTTGTTGGTCTCCGAACCAATTCCTGTTTCTGTCAGCAGGCCTCGTAGGAGTTTCTGATTGGTCTGCAGTGAAAGACCCAGGAGGAACCGGAGGAACAAGTCCAGGTGCCCGTTTGGACTCTGTAAGGCCTGGTCCACAGCACTCTGGTAGAGATGTGAGAGTTTAGGTTTGTCTCTGAAGGCTTTAGGCAGCCTGGAGGTTGTTGGTTCTTCTGACAGCAGGTTGACTCCAGAGGTGATGAAGGTCAGATGGACATGAAGAGCAGCCAGAAACTCCTGAACGCTCAGATGGACGAAGCAGAACACCTTGTCCTGGTACAGTCCTCTCTCCTCTCTAAAGACCTGTGTGAACACTCCTGAGTACACTGAGGCTGCTCTGATATCGATGCCACAGTCTGTCAGGTCGGACTCATAGAAGATCAGGTTGCCTTTCTGCAGCTGCTCAAAAGCCAGTTTCCCCAGAGACTCCATCATCTTCCTGCTCTCTGGACTCCAGTGTGGATCTGTCTCAGCTCCTCCATCATACTTGATGTTCTTCACTTTGGACTGAACCACCAGGAAGTGGATGTACATCTCAGTCAGGGTCTTGGGCAGCTCTCCTCCCTCTCTGGTTTTCAACACCTCCTCCAGAACTGTAGCAGAGATCCAGCAGAAGACTGGGATGTGGCACATGATGTGGAGGCTTCGTGAGCTCTTGATGTGGGAGATGATGGTGCCGGCCTGCTCCTGATCTCTGAATCTCTTCCTGAAGTACTCCTCCTTCTGTGGGTCATTGAACCCTCGGACCTCTGTCACCATGTCCACACACTCAGGAGGGATCTGATTGGCTGCTGCAGGTCGTGTGGTTATCCAGAGGCGAGCAGAGGGAAGCAGCTTCCCCCTGATGAGGTTTGTCAGCAGCACATTCACTGAGGTGGATTCTGTGACATCAGTCAGGATCTCAGTGTTGAGGAAGTCCAGAGGAAGTCGACACTCATCCAGACCGTCAAAGATGAACACGACCGGGAACTGATCGAACCTGCAGATTCCTGCGTCTCTGGTTTCAGAGAAGAAGTGATGAACAAGTTCCACCAAGCTGTACTTGTTCTCTCTCACCACATTCAGTTCTCTGAAGGTGAATGGAAATGTGAACAGGATGTCCTGGTTGGCTTTGCCTTCAGCCCAGTCCAGAGTGAACTTCTGTGTTAAGACTGTTTTCCCAATGCCAGCCACTCCCTTTGTCAGCACTGCTCTGATTGGTGCATCTCTTCCAGGTGAGGCTTTAAAGAGGTCTTCTTGTCTGATGGTTGTTTCTGGTCTGTCTGCTTTCCTGGATGCTGATTCAATCTGTCTGACCTCATGTTCAGCATTGACCTCTGCAGACCCCCCCTCTGTGATGTAGAGCTCTGTGTAGATCTGATTCAGAAGGGTTGGGTTTCCTGCTTTAGCAATGCCCTCAAACACACACTGGAACCTCTTCTTCAGGTTAGACTTCAGTTTACGCTGACACACTCCAGAACGACTTCCTGAATGAACACACAACAAAGCAGATCAATAAGTCAAAGGAATCCTTAAAGAATGAAGATCTGAATATACTTTGTTCCATCTCTTGAGACTTTAGTCAACATTTATCCAGCTTGTTAAATCTCTATAGAAACCCTCTTACTGCTCTGCAGACGGTCAGCCAGCTCCTCCTGCTTCATGCTCCTCAGGAAGTGCAGAGAGATGTTCAGAAATGCCTCTCTGCTGCTCCTCCTCTGCTCTTCATCATCACCATCCAACACCTCCTCATCCTCCCTCTGGCTCTCTAAGCATTCTGGGTAATCTGAACTCAGAGCCTTCTGGATCTTCTTCAGCTCGTTCTTCACAAAAGTGACGATGTTGTCCTCCAGCAGCTGGAACAGAATACATGAACAACACAATCAAACTACCTTGCTACCCTTTTCCCTCAACCTATCCTAAGGGAGTGCATGTATGTAGACACGTTAGTTTAGCTGCTATAGGCTTGGACTGTTGGGGGGGGCACCTTACTCCGTCTTTCTGGCTGTTTGTACCTGTGTACTCTCATGTTCCGAATAACCCAGCTTCCCCCAAATCTCTTTTTTGTTTCCATATATACGCCGGGATCCTGAGTCGAGGCTGATCCTGTTGCTGCGATCCTGCCAGACTCTCACCATACTACTTCCCTGATGGCTCCCACAAGATTGTTGAAATCCTCGTGGATTCATCTTCCTATTATACACACATGCATTTCCAAACATTTGGACTACCTATGTTGTAAATGTATTATCTTTTCAATTTACACACGGCATCTATTGCACGTCTGTCCGTCCTGGGAGAGGGATCCCTCCTCTGTTGCTCTCCCTGAGGTTTCTCCCATGTTCCCTTTAAACTGTGGGTTTTCTCCGGAAGTCTTTCCTTGTACGATGTGAGGGTCTAAGGACAGAGGGTCTAAGGACAGAGGGTCTAAGGACAGAGGGTCTAAGGACAGAGGGTGTCGTATTGTCATACTGATATTCTGTACAAACTGTGAAGTCCACTGAGACAAATGTAACATTTGTGATATTGGGCTATAAATAAATATATAACATAATAAATATATGACATTGATTGATTGAACTAAAATAAATGAACATCAGATCCATGTTGGACGCACTGACAATTGACGGAGGATGAAACAGAATCTGATTACGTTATTCGAATGCACCTGAAACAGAAATGTTTTCTACCCACGGTTTCTCTTTGTTACATGGTGGGGAAGGGGAGCCATGATTGGCAGAAATAGCTCAGTCCCTTTGGACTTGGTTTGGGAATCAAAGTCGCAGTTCAAGCCACCAAATAAGGAGTGCAGAATGTACACAGAGACGTGCCAGTTTGTCTCTTGGGCACTGCCAAGATACCCTTGAGCAAAGCACCACACCCCAACACTTCTAAACCAAATAGAAAAAAGAACAATATATTGGACGTCTTGGCCACTGACAGCTCAGTGGTTGCCGGTGGTTCAAGTATGCTGGTTCAACTCCAGAGGCCGCTAAAAATTCAAGGTCATCCTCTCTGTCTTGATCTAAAAAGTGCACCATAGAAATGATTGGACAGAACAGATGTGAAGTAGCTGTAGTTCATGTACAGACCATAAATGTGGAGTCCAGCTGAGTCTGATGCTGCTGGGCAGACTGACCTCTGGGAACCTCTGAGCTCTGCTGGTCCTCTCTGTGAGGAATCATGAAGAGATAACTCACATTATGTTTCAACATAGACTTTTCATACAGAGACACACAGAGCAGATAGTAATATATGTCAGGATACATCATCATCAAAACCAGATGCTAACAACACTGATTAAAGACCAATTCTGTATCTGACTGACAATCAATCAGCAAGCTCTCCAGTTTCTATTAATAGTTTTAAATACTTACACCGGGTCATAAGAACGGCTTCCATCTTTGAAGTCAATCATACGAGCTTTAGACCGATCACTCTTCAGGGACACACAGCTGGGTCCAGGAGACTCTGCTCTCTGCTGCTTGGAGCTAATAGAAAGACAATAATGTACAGAAGCAACAAGATGATATCTCTGCTTTCAGTGTTTTCGGACAGTTAAAGACCCTTGATCTCACAACTAGTCCCGAGATCTCTGCAACTAAACCCTAGACCACTGCAGCTACCTCCCAGAGATCAGCAGTAGTGCCTGAAACTCTCCAACTAATACCTAAATCCCTGCAGCAATTACGAACACCTCTCTGCAAACATTGGCTCCTTTAAAAAAAAACGTTGACTATAAAAACACCTTGTCATTGAGTTAATATTAACAGAGTAGAAATAATCCTCCTCTCTATCAGAGCACTTTGACCAACAGAGGCCTCAATACATATGAAATATGAGCCTTCGTAAGATGAGAGAAGTATCAACGTTGTGAGTCAATGTTCAGGAGAAAAAGTAGGACAACAAGTCTACCTGCAATGGTATAGAAGGCTTCTTTTATCGAGCCTGTCTGACACGTTAAACTCTGGCTTCAGAGTGAACCCACCTCGGTAGACCCTCCCTCAGCTTCAATAAGAAGTCTCTGTTCTTCAGTAACAACATGTTTTCTACTGCTGCTGATATAATGAAGTCACATGACGTCCACTTACTCTGTCTGTGAAGGTCGGCCTTTAAAACATATTGGGTCAGCTATAGACCGGTTACTCTTCATGGACACACAGCTGGGTCCAGGTCCAGGTCCAGGTCCATGCTGCTGCTCTGGGCTTCAACACACACACACACACACAGAGTTTTGAGTGTGAATAATGCCTGCTGAGCTCTGGAGAAGAGGACAGTCAGAGGTCTTCATCTCACCTCTGAGCTTTGGTGAGGCGTTCAGGGTCCCCACTCAGAGCGGGTTCAGTGTCCTCACAGGGATTCATAGCAGAGCTCACACCTTCACACACACAACCACCTGCTGGAGAACCACACATTATCTCATCAGGACACAGAGAGTTCTCACACAGAAACACATTTCAAACAGTCAACACAGGAAACCTAGTGTTTCGAATGTAAAGCAGAAGTTTGTTAGGATAAAAATAATTAAAGCTGCACGCAGCGATCATCGGGCCCTCGCACATCCACGCTGGTTGGGATACTTCCAGAATCCCTGTCCACTCAGCAGCGCCATGACAGCTGGAGACCGGCCGCAAGGATGAACATTACGTATTGCATGGAGGTGACGTTTTGTCTTGCACAACCTCCGGTGTCCTCTATGTGGCGCTAAAGAAGAAGTGCTTAACAAACAGTATATTTCTCTTTCTCACGTGTAGACCACACATCGTAATCTTCATGTAAATCTGATGATGTTCGTAATATGAGGCTGACTTCATCTAGCCAGTAGGTGGCGCTATGACTCATCTGTAAAAGTCTTAGGTTGCGTTCGGATAGTTTAAAAATTAGCTCCTAAGTTTTAACCCTATCTCCTATTCCTTGACCTCTGAGTGAAAGGTCACAGGGTTAAGGGGTAGTGGATAGGAGAATTCAAAAGGACTTAGGAGAAGAGACTGCGGTACTTTAATCATGACACTGCACACACTTAAGCAGTTATCAAATTATAAACAAAAATGTTATTAACTTACAAATGATATATAAACAATTGATCTACGTAATTACACATCCGAAAAGGGGTTGGAAGAAGTCTACACTTATGTAATCCCACCCCTTCTCCCAGATTCAAATGATTCACTTATTTTCAGTGTGATAAGGTGAACGTGTTTTGCAAAGTGTTCATGGGACCAAACTGTGTCGGGTTATACAGTGGGAAGGGAGTGAAGAATCGGTTTGAAAATAGTTCGGACTGGTTCGTCGAGATGTAATTATGTTCACTTTGTTGGATGTTTGAAATGTGCAGACAGCATTTAGAAGTAGAGAGCGGTCATGTGTTGATGATGTGTGTTTTTCTATTATTATTTAACAAATATAAATCAGTGTCTGTTTAGTGTTGTGTATTTCTTCTGGGTTTTACCGTGAGTTTAAAGAGTTTGTGATGCATTTTAGTGAGCGATCGTTCTGTGCCTCCTTTCTCCGGATGGTCTTTGTCTCTGCAGCTGATTGGACGACACCTGTTTTCAATTCAGCTGATAAGCCATGATTAGTAAAGGCTCACCTGCCTGGGTGAAGCCTCGCGGTTTGTATCAGAGGCATGACACAACGGTTGCGTTCGGATAGTTTAAAAATCAGCTCCTAAGTTCTAACCCTATCTCCTATTCCTTGACCTCTGAGTGAAAGGTCACGGGGTTAAGGGATAGTGGATAGGAGAATTCAAAAGGACTTAGGAGAAGAGACTGCGGTACTTTAGAGAATCGACTGCACTTTCACTATCCGACGTGTTTCTGATGCGCCAGCGGACGTCCTGAATGAGCGTCTGCTGCTGTGGGGAAACTATGGAAACTACAGTTCTCTATACAGCGGACTACAACATGGATGTTCAATAAGAACGAGGGACTCCTGTGAACTCATCTAGAGACTCTGTGCTCTGACGCTGTTGCTTTATGCTTTATGAACGGGGACAACAGAGAAACAGATTCTTCAGGACCAAAGCTGGAATTGAAATAAAAAAGGAAAGTGAAGCTTCTGCTCGTCCCCCTCTCCCTCCGGTCCACATGAATACAAATGATCCCAATACGTATGATTGATGAAAAGATCTTAAATCAATACAGATGTATTTATTATAAACGTTAGTCCTTAACATCTATCACTGTGTATATCACCATTCAAACATCTTTTAAAAGTGGAACAAACCACACAGCTCAGTGAAGACTGTGAGATGTTGACTTTATTTGATCATTTCAGTAAAAACTAACGTTCATATTTCTCTCTTTGATTATAATACTGATGAACGTTCAGAACAAAGCACTTTGGCAACTTACCACATACGTTTTAAAAAAGCTTAATAAGCACCGTAACTTTCATGATATCATTTCTCCGTCATAATCGGTTGTTTCCGTGAACGGCCGACTGTTGTGTGACGTCAAATGCTGCGGCTGCAATGCATTGTGGGCCAGCATTTTCTCCTCTCCTTTCGGTTAGGGAGGTCCAGTGGTTCCTAAGCTAAAGGAGGTTATCAAGGAAGTTTGAAACCTCCTTTCCTTTCATTTGGAGAATTGGAACGGCACTTATCATGGCTGCCACTGAGGGACTTCCGGGTCATTTCACTCCGTTAGGAAGGTTCCTAAGCTAAATGTTACGATTATTGTGTTATGTCACGTTTTCTATGTCTTATTTTGGGTGTTTTGTAGTGATGTTACGTATTGCGCCGAGGCTTCGGAGCGTGTGTCGAGTAATCCCCGAAGTTTTTTGTGAAGCATGTATCGAGGCTTGTATCGTTTTGGGCCAGTGACGTCATCGATGACAAACGAAGCCTCGCTGCCTGTCGATACCACGTGACTGCTTCACGAAGTGATTCAGATCGGTTGAACCGTTGAACCACAACGCTCATAATACCCATGGATGTATAATAAGAACGATATTACCCCTCCTGTACCCGGGCCCGCTGGTGACACGATGGAATTAAAAGAGCTCAAAACCTCACCTATATAGAGGTCGGAACATGTCATAAGTATAAATAGATACAAGCATAAATAAATGTAGGAAAAAAAACATGAATGAATAAATACAGGAATAAATATGTTACAGTGTTTTCAGGGAGATTCAGCTTGTGTGCTGCGGCTCAGCTGGAAAGCAGTTGACTCACGATCACAGGGTTCCTGGTTCAATGACTCGTCAATACGTCTTTTTTGTTGTTTATAAAAGCTACAGCTAAATTAGATAATGTAGTTAATAAATGTATTCTTTGATATGGTTTAGCCTTTCTCAGGCTACAACATGGTTATGTTTATTAATATTAGTAAGGAATACAAATCCCTCTTTGCAATGTTTACCAGCCTCCTTAGGCTTTTCAATCACAATCATTCAACTGGAATAAATACACTATTGTTAACATGAAGATATGATTTAATGTTCGTTGTTTAGAGTTATTCTAAGGCTTTACTCATTGGGAACTTGGTATGAGATGGAGCACACTGTTGAGATGTCCAATCTGCCTGTTTTACACACTTTGACCAACAGGGGGTTTGTGTTCAAATGAAGCCCATGATGAAGCCTCATGAGATGAACCCTTTTGCGAACCAATTGGCTGGAAAGCTTCAAAGCTTCATAAGGCTTCATCTCGCCATCACTAGTGTTTTGCTGTTCTCCCTGTCGTGTTTTCCTCCGTGTTTATTGTCTGGTCCTTTTCCCTGTGTTTTTCCTCCTGTCGTTAGTTTCCCTGGTGTGTCTAGTTGTCTGATTGTGTTCACCTGTGGCCCTTGTGTTTCTCCTCCCCTGCCCGGCTGTTTCTCGTCTTGTGATTACCCCTCCCTGTATTTAGTCTGTTCTCTTCCTGTGTTCAGTGTCGGTTTGTCTTGTGGTTTGGCTTGTCCTCGGTGAGTGGTGTGTTCTGTCTTTGTTAGTATAGCCTTGAAATAAAGGAATTTTCACGTTAATCTGCATTTGGGTCCTACCTGCTTCACACATCGTAACACTAAATGGACTATTCGACTGCAGCCTTAGTCTGGGACTCTGATCGACCAGAAGGAATTGGGAGCAGGTTGGTGACTTTACTCTCAAGTTATAACCACGTATAACAAGCTTTTAATCACTTTTGAAGTGTGTGGTCATAAGAAGGTGCTGACCAAATTTGAAGTCGCTCGGATTATATCTCTAGGAGGAGTTTGTTAAAGTATGGGGCCTGACAAATTGCCAAAATAGACACTTAAAATCACTAAATTCAAAATGCCCAACTTATGGTTGGTCTAAGACAATAGCAACGGTAGACTTCTTCTTCTCACTCCCAACCCGTCACATGTTGACGGTCGGTCAGGGCCCCTCCCCGTCACTCTATTACGGACAGGGTACCCCTTGTGAGTCAGTTTTCAATGGGCAGGGCCAGAGCCATATAATAGAAGAGTTACGACATCTCCGTTCACTCCAATGGACCATTTTTTTTACAGCAATGGCGGATCGTGGAGATCTTAGGCTAGCAGCGCAGCAGAGTTGCAGCATAATAGACCGTTCGTGATGGACTTTTAAAGGTAAGAAGACGTTTAAAGATTTATATTGCGGATATTATCAGAACATCTGAATCAAATTAACTACACGTGTATTAAAGGATGTAAGGAAAATGTCTGTCTTATGGACAGAGTTAACATGGGACTTTTCCTTCAAATGTACTGAGGTCCGCACAATGGAAATGTGATGTCAACTACCAATGCAAAATCCCTGCCACCGGCTAGACACATTTTATATGTCTGAGGGTAAAATAATCATCATTCTGTATATAAATATGTTTGTCAATATCATGGACATCTCCTGCTAAATTGAGGTCCACGAAGCTGACACAAGATACCCGCAGATAAGCACTCATCTCGGACTAAAATCCTCAATGCATAGCAGTTTTAATGGCATGCCCCCATATTTTTTTGTTATTCAGTGTTATCAGGGGCACGAACTTCTGACCGGTGTTCCCTCTTGGTTTAGTCCGTGGGGGAGTGCTTAAGTGTGGGTACACAGGTTTGCCTGGTGCACAAGGTTATGGATGTGGGGGTCTTGCTGGTGCTCAAGTGCCCATATACATCACCCCATATTCACATAACTTTTACCCGCCTTAAGAGACACTATTTTGGGATACAATTTATCTATTTTCACCCGTTCACCTGGTTCTTCCTACAGTTAAGTTAGCCTTTTTCTGACTCTGGATGAATGGAATGTGATGTTAACTTCCAATGCAAAGTGCCTGCCACGGACATGACATCACCCCATATTCACATAACTTTTACCTGCCTTAAGAGACACTATTTTGGGATACAATTTATCCATTTTCACCCTTTTCTGTGCTGGAAGGAGCTCTCTGGGTCACATCCTGCCGCTGCTGCTGCT